CCCTATGTTCTGCCCTGTGTGGCTGAAGCTGAAGAAGACAATTGCCTGTCGTCGGAAGGGCACGAGCATCCGAGCAAGGCTGGGAGTGGGAAAGGAAGGGCACGACTTCGGAGTGGGGGCAGATGTTCCAGAGCCCTGAACAGGAATGTTCAAAACCAGTTCCTTGGGTCTGATAATATCAGATATGAGCAGGTTTTGGTCTCTTCCCAGGGACTTTTGTGTGGAAGGATAAGGGAATAATAAGAACTTTATGACTTCTTTTGTTCCAAGGAAATATCAGCAGTGAGGTGAGTAAAGGAGAGATGATGAAGATCTGCAACGGTCTGCGGTTTTGATGTGGTCCTGCCTGCTCTGCCAGCCTGCAAGACAGTGCAAAACTGGAATCTGTCTCCTTGGCTTGCCTGGGTATCTGTGCTCAGACAGCAGCACAACCTCCCTAGGAAACGGATGTGTTTACATGGCTCCGTTTCTCAAACATATAGAGGTCATAAATTTAAAGGTAGATACTCTTTTACAGATCAGCCTTTCTGAAAAACAGTAACACCCAAGTGAAAGACATTGTTCATATTCCTTTTAGCAAGCCTGACAAGCTGGATTTTCCTGCAAATGAGGGTTCTGGAGAATGCTCCAAATGTTGGAGAGAAACAAGTGACAAATATATATTTTTTACATAATCAGCTGGAGTGGGTTAGTTTTTCTTGTTTATAATGAGTAAGTGAAACATGCTTATAAAGAGGCTGATATTCAGGGAGGTATAAGAATAATTATAAAATTTCTTGTAGTGGGTACCTGTGATCCTCCTGCTTCACCTGAACACTGCTGGAAGGTTTCACTACAAGCTCACAGTTACAAACAGTCACACGTCTGCAAGCTTGGTTAACGCTGATAATCAGGTAATCTGCACTGATAGTAAATAGTCATAGTCAGGTCCAGCCACATGAACAAGCAAGTGATTTCCCCTGGCATTCAGTGCTCTTTATTTGAGCCCTCAGTCTGTGGAGGCAGGTGTGGCAGAATTCAGCCTGTTGTCAGTAATGTCAGTAACACGTTGCTGTTTGGAGAAAGTTATTTTGGACTCTCGAATATACAGCTCCTCAGACAGCAGCCCGTGACCCAGAGCTGGGCCAGGAATTAACTAGGCCCTTGAGTTTTTCAGAGAGCTGGTACAGAGACCTACCCTGGGTTTCTCTGTTAAAAAAACCCTCAGATCATAACTGCCCTAACAAAACTAGAAAGAGCAGATGGCTTTATTCCAGTATAGAATTACTGCATCAATGAACCCAAAAGTTCAAGGAGTTTGATTCACTGGCTTATGTTATTGAGAGTGTATTCTGGGTAGGAAGAACTGGATAAATAAGGAAAAGAAGATGAGAAAAGGGGGAAAAAGAGCAAACAAATAGGATAGAAGTGGAACAGAGACAATGGACTGGAGAACAAATACAGGACTGTGCAAAAAGTAAGAGTAAAGATGCACAGAAGGAAGATTTTTAATAAAAAATTAATAGGGTACATATACTTTATATGGAACACCATTCACACCAACACGTCTTTGGAGTGCAATTTGCTCTTTTGTATACAGCATTGGCTGATCTTTTTCTGTAATTCTTGGAGAGTTGAGCAGAAAGGGTTGAGTTGATGTGAGAACTGATTTGCAAACCTCATCTGTCTGAAACTCCAGCACTATTTTTATGTACAACTTTGCTTTTCCTTACTCCCCTAGGAAAGTAGTAAACTTATCCAACAATCAGTGAATACCATAGTTTTGGGGGCAAGGAAAGAAAACATTTCTTCCTCAATGCCATAATCAAGGGACTAATTTTTGGTCACAAGGTCTCCAAAATCAGTAGCTTCTTTGAGAAACCTAAATTACAGGGAATAAAAACCTGACCCATAGCTAAAAAATGTGGGTGAAAGAGGAGGATAAAATGATTGCTGAATTCAGGAAAAAGTCAAGGACAGAGGGCTTGAAGATTTTGGTCTTTGATTTGTGTTTCCTGTTGTTGCAGGCAGCTGTACCTTCCAGTCCTGTTAGAAACGTATCAGGATTTGGGAATTAGTGCCCAAATGTTCTTGGAAGGCTTACCAGAACTTTCTTGAATCATGGCCCTTAAAGAAGAAAAGGCAAAATTTGGGAATTGCTGAGACCTGGTACAGACTAACCTGAAAACAAGGGAAATGCAGTGTGTGAAGAGGTGGTCTGATAAAGGACATTTCACCAGGGCAGATTGTGTCCAACAGAGCCGCAGACTTTGTCAGCTGAAGGAGGGTTTCTTTGTATGTTTGTTGTGGAACCAAATACCGTGTATGTATGCGCTCAGATATTACCCTACAAAAGATGTTTGTGCAATTCTTTAGTGTTGTCAAAACAGAGGGAAGAGCATTGCTAAAGCTTCTAGGGAATATTCAGAAGACAAGGTTTCCTTTGAGGAAGCAGCTTAGGTGCTGGCTGGGTTTCACAGGCTTCATTTGCATATGTGGAGGCTGTGTGCTTCCAAACTACACCGCCACTGCAGCTGTCTTCCTTGCTTTTCTCCTCCTTGGGGCACTATGCTCAAAACCCACAGTAAAACATGGGAAAAAAAGATCCTAGCGGGTAAGTTTATACTATGGGTGGGGTTACACACTTCAGTTAAAAATAAATAAAAGTCTTCCCAAGCAGTGTGGAACCCTTGTTGTAATCTCAGTCTTTTTTAGTTGGAGTTTTGCTTTGCGTCTCTTCTAGGTAATGGTGGAACTGCCAGCAAAGTTCAAGCTATTATGTGGACAGGGCCATAGCAAAGCTCTGGGGCTCTGTAATTATTACTTTTGGTTGCTCTGTCTGTAGTGCACTAGAAAAGTTCTTCAATCTCTAAAGCTTGTATGGTGAGAGCACCATTAAGGTCACAGTTTATATTTATCAGTTAACTTGCTAATTTGAAGGGAAAGCATTCAAGTGGAAATGTAGAAAATAGAAACAACATGAGCAGGTCACAATATCCAAAACAGCAATATGAAATGTTCCAGTGTAAATACATTTCTATAAAAGGTGTGAATGAAACTTAAAAAAAAAACCAACCCAGATGATGGATTTGGCACAGTCAATGAACACAATTATAAGTAGGTATTGAAGGAGAGTATTCCACCAACCATGGATCCACAGATAATAATTAATAAGAACCAACTGTACTCCAGGCAGGCAGGTGCCCAGTATTATTTCACAGTTGACTGTTCAGGGGGTAGAGGTACTCACCGGTGCCACAGATCTTAATAATTTACTGCAGTTTTTATCATTAAATCAGCATATAATTGGGAAGGAAATTAGTTTGAGGGGTTTTTTTTGTTAAGCGCAAAGCAGCACCGTTAATTTACTTATTTGTAGGAAAGGCTTTCTGTAGTTATTTGGTATTTTGCTGTCTTTTTTCTTTTAATTAAGTAAAGTAAAAACAATGCCATTTTTGTCATCAGTGCGTGGTGAAAATATGACAGTGTGATGTGATTTGCAACTTAAGCACAAACTCAGAAAAATGTACATTTTATCAGGACTGGCAATAATGAATTACAAGGAAACACAAATAAGCTAAGAATATATCTGAGACCTCCTACCATTTCTGAAGGTTCCAGTGTCTGTGGGAAAAAGGCTATTTCAAGAATTGTACTTCTTATTTATTTTTTTTCCTCTCAGCAAAATTGCCATAGCCTTGTATAATAATTGAATTCATTTAGTCTTTAGAATACTCAAGTTTGCAAATAACAATGAAAATGAATATTTCATGGCGTGGAGGATGATAAGCTATAGTTTTGTAACTTCCACTGGTAGCCCAGCACAAGGGAGCCAGCATTTACATTTCACGAGAATTTTTGCACCCAGATAATATAAAGAACTGCTGCTTAAGACAATAAGCAGGCAGGTGGGGATAGTTAAACAAGACCTTTATTTTTGGGCTTTCTTTCCCTATTTTGGACAACAATTTACAGTTCCGCTTTATCCATGGAATTTGTTGTATACGCAATGCAAAGGAGCATCGTAAACCAGTTGCACCTGCAGCAGCCCCTATTGTCTGGGGAGGGCTCTGACGGGGAGACAGGTGTTAGCAGTGTGTCTGATTTTCCACGACAAGAGATTTTTAATGAATTTATTTCAGTGAGTAAACGCTGTGTTCAGGTCGGGCGGGCGCACAGAGCGCCCCGAGGCAGCTCACGGAGGCGGGCGGGGGTCGCGGCGGCGGTGGGCAGGACGGCGCAGCTCCTTGTCACAGCCACGGTTTGGTGGGGAATGCACGGAGACAGGGCAGTGATTAAAGAGCGGCTCCAAGTACTGTAATCTATCTGGGAACAGGATCAGGCTTCCCCCTCGGAGCAGGTGAGATAACTGTAGCCACATTTTTTATAGATGCTGAGTCCATGTCAGAGAAATGCTGGGCTGGGGGGTGTGTGTGGGGGGGGGCGGGTTGCTGAGATACTTACCGTGCAAAAACTAACTTGAGTTGCAATTGTCTATGAGAAACCATAGCTTGACCAAAATACTCGAGGTGGTGCAAAATCCCTGAGTGCAAAAAAAATAAAAGTGTTGGGAGGCGGTGTAACTTTTGCCGAACTCTGGGACAGCCTCTCCCATAGAGGCGGGGGAGCGGTGCGGGCACGGGAGAGGCGCTCGGGCTGCTCAGAGCACGCAGGCTGTGGCTCGGCTCAGAGTCCCTTCACTTTTTCTTTCTTATAAGCGCAGCTCTGCCTATTGTGTGCTGGGCTCTGGGGGGAAGACAAAGGAAGCAAGCTAAGAAATTAAACGAGATGGGGAGGGATAGGAGCTGTGCTACGGCAGGAGCGGCGTTCCGGGGGTGTGGCGTGGAAATGTGCTTTGAATCGCAGCGTGTTGCCGCGGCCGCCGGGGTCTGAGCGGGTTTTGCGAAGATTTACTTCACTTCAGGCTGGGTCTGCCCCTGGCTGACGTCACGGGCTGGAGCAGCGGCTCCAGAAGGCTGGATGAGTGACAGCCCAGCCTACTTTTTAATAGCTTTGTCATGTGACGGGGAACAGTAGTAAGACAGGTGCCTTCGGTTCACTCTCAGAGAGGGTCTCGTTGCCTGCATGAGTGTCTGCTGCCTGCCTGCCTGCCTCTGGACTGTAGTTTGCCAGCTTTCCTGCCGTCGCTCCGCAGCTGGATGGCGTGGGACATGTGCAACCAGGACTCTGTATGGAGCGATCTCGAGGTGAGCGGAGCGCGGCGTGGGCGGCCGTGGGTGCCGGCAGCCGGCGGGGCCGTGGGCTCGGCGGGGCCCCGGCAGGACGGCCGAGGCAGCGCACTTTGCAAACAAGTCCCTATCTTATCTTAACTCCGCTAAGTTTGCTATTTTAAGGTTACTCTGCGATGCCTTGAGCAAATCAAAGCTGAGCTCCTGTCATCAGTATAGTATCTCCTGCAGTTGGAAACTATTTTCATGTGCCTCCGGCTCGCTTTCCCGTCATATGCAATATTTATGCTCTAAGATATTGATATGAATCGGTGTCTGAAGTGGCGTTTCCAGTGGCGTTCACTGGCCTGGTTGGAAAAATGCCATGTTTATTTAGAATAAGATGAATATTTCTTAAAAAAAAAAAGTTATAATCAACTCATGGATTCATATTTTGATTCCTTGTTTCACTGTGCTCTGTCGAAGGTTTTTTCCTTGTTTATCAGCTGCAGAATGCAAACACGCACGCAGGAATGAATACCCTGTTGTTTGGCTTTAGATGCTTTTAAAAGAGATTTCTGGAAGGAGACGTTTCCCTGCTACTTGTGGTGTTGGAATACTGACGCTGTAGCTAATGCCCCGTAGAGCAGGGTTTGCAGTCAATCTGAGTAATCCAAGAAATGGTTAAATCCCATGTACAGGAGAGACAACAGGATGAACCATGAGAATAGAGTTTATGCAGGACTGTGAACTGCTGCTGCTGCCGCCGCTGCTGCTGCTTGTGTAAAAATAGACGGCAATACATCAAATCCACAGCTTCTGCTGGCTACAATTCATAAAGGAAAAAATAAAAAAGGCAAGCAGCCCCGTGGTAATCTCTGGAGTATAATGTGAGGTTTGAGGATTTCTGCATATTTGCATTCAGCAAAATGGAGCATTACCTGAAAGTTTGGGCAACTTGCGAAGCGAGGCAAACTTTCTTTGGACCCCATGAAGAGGAATCCCAAATACAGACCTGCTCAAAGGAACTAATCCTCTGGATTCAGGCTTGGAATAAGTGCTTAAAATGCTTCCCTTGGGCAATGGGGGAGGGAAAAACAGGTTACAGGCAATGCTTTTTAAATAAAATGTTCATGCTGTAGGGGGCTGAGCTACCCATCTAAAGTGAACCGTTTCTGTGTTCTCCAGTAAATTTTTCCTATCTGGCAGAGCATGTGTGTGGATTCTCAAGTAATTTTGTCATGTTTTAAATATTTGCAGCTTGCCATTGTATCCACAAATTTCTGTTTGCATATTGTAATTGGTCTTATCTTGTTTTGATTTCTTGGTAAAGTGGAATAGATATGGATAATTCATATGTCCTGTAGCTATTATGAGTCAAGGCAGTAAGTGGATGACTTTCTGGCTCCAAAGTCCTAATTGTTTCTGAGTAGCTGGAGTATCCTGTGGGTTGTTGTCTGGCTTGTAGCATGGGTCTCTGCTGCCATAGCTTCATTTTTCCATCGTGTATTATTCTTAATGCTGCTAGGAACTGATTGAGGAACCAGCTTATATGGAAATACTGAAGATTTATTTTAATCACTAGAGTTCCTGCAGTAATTTCAAGCTAGTAACAGAATAGATAATTTATGTCAATGACTGTTTCATAGTGCAGAGAGAAAAAAAAAAGAACCAAAAAAAGAGTTTGATCTTAATATTAATTGTGTGGTGGATGGATTAACTGTGGGTAGGATTTTGCCAGTGTGCTCCTGCATTGCACTTCCTGTAGCAACACTAGCGTCTGCGTGCTGCTTTGGCTCAGGGGATCACCTTTACTGAGCTAAAATAATGCAGGCAGCAAGCACTGGAGGCAGCTTTCATTCTTTGAATCATTAATATTTGCTGTCAATGTTAAATGTATTATATTCTCGCTCACATAATGACAGGACGGCGTGTTGTTTAATAAAGGCCTGCATCACTGTAGCTGATCAGCGTCCCCAGTGCTTCACAGCCTAATGAAGGTGATGTACAGTAAGGTTGTGAAGATTGATAGAGAGAATCCACATGACACACATTTTGTAAAGTCTCTCTTTCCTGAGTTCATCCCCTTGGCACTTTGAAAAACTTGTTAAAAATAAAACAAAGATTATATTTTCATTAATATAATTAATATGGCATAAGTCCAGTCTTCTTCTTATTTTTTTTTTAATTTACCTTCAAAGGCACAAAAACAGCCAAAAGGTTAATGGAGAATTATACTTAATTATAATGATTCATTACCATCAGTGCAGTTAAGCTAATTTACTGTTTGCGTCTGAACTAAGAGAAAAAAGGTCTGTTGGAGTGAAATAACACACAGTAATTAGCCTTTTGTGTTTAGTGACTGCTTTATCCTCCTAAATGTTACTGTAAAATTAGGGCTATAGTTATGGAATAACTATCATATCAAATAACAGTGGGAAGACATTAAAATGTGTGCTACACATACAGGTGCACCTGTTACAGATGTATAGGCAAACAGCAAATATCAGCGTGTCAGATGAGGACAGTTTTAGGACTTGGAGTGTTAAATCTGGCATCATCCAAAGGCCAAATATAAATTAATAAAAGGAGCACTTGCTGCTAATGTGTCTCATATTAATGTGCTCTGTGTGCTCAGAAGTATAATGTCATATTCAGAAACATTGATTTTATTATCATGTCAACATTGGCAAGGCATATATACTTCATTTCAGCAGTTACATTTTTAGGTGACATTGCAGTCTCTATAGGTAAATGGAGGCTGCGATAAGCAGGATTTCTTTTAATACCATTGTTTATGTTGCTTCAAAAGCCCACTGTAGGAACTTGAAAATGCAGATTAGCAAAAGTAAACATGTTTAAGTAGGTGGTTCACAGGGTGAAGCTATTTTTATAAATGAAAGCAGTAACAGATCAGCAGGATACTTTAGAAGTCTATGGCATCAGTTATAAGCTACTGACCTCAAGAACACAAACCTGAGAATGATGCTGAGAATCTACCTTTTCAGTCAAAAACTAGATTATCCTTTAATGAGATCAGAGATTTCGGCCAAGCATCAAAAAAGGTCATCTCCGTATTATAAGATTGCTGCCAGAAGGTTGTGTCTCGCACTAAAGAAGAGGAAACTCTCTAGTTTTGGGGTTTTTTTTGTGTCTTATGCTCAAAATAATGTTAAAAAATTCAGATAAAAGAAAAAAAGTTAACATTACTTAAGTGGGATTTTGACTCCTTATAGTTCTACGACCCCTTAAATATAGGAAGAAAAGCAACTGCAATTTCAGAGCCTCGTTTTGCAGCCTCTCAGCTTCCTTGCCCCTTGGCCTACTCTATGATTATCTTGTAGTGTCCTGGTAGACGTACAAGTTGTCTGGTAAATTATAGCTCACACTAGCTGCACCGAGTCTTTGTGCCAACAGACAAAATCTTTGCTCGTGGCTGCGCTGCTGCATCCAGCCCGTGCACTGCAGACACACCGAGGTTCCAGGGACAAAGCCATCAATGAGGTGCACCTTCAGCAGCTCTCTTGCATTGTTGTTCAAGGCAGTCCTTGCGAGAGTGTTACAACCAGCATTGAGCGACTCACATCCATGGGCACTGTTAGTGCCCTGCACACATCTGCCTTCAGAAAGCAGCGCTTTCTCCATTGACTTCAGTCCAAACAGAACTTGGGAAATCATTCAAACCACCCAGACAACTGACGGGAGCTGCGGAGGTGACAGGATCCTGCTGTTGGCCATCCGTAACGCAGTGCTAGAAACACGGTAGATGCCCTTAGACTCAGTTGACTTTAGATGGCTTTTAACCATTCAGGTGCCTGTGCAGCTCCACGTGTGCTTTGCAGTGTGCCCGTATCGACGTAGGCGTTCGGGGATGAGTTACAAGGATCCACGGAGCAGTGCAGTAGGAATTGCTTAATTGAGCAGCATTGACATATGGGACTCAGCTATTTGCCAAACTGTTACTACATGTTTTCTATAATTAGGAAATAGTTTTGGTGGATACTCTAACATTTCAATTGCTGTGTTGAAGTGGATGTATGTTATTAATTTTTTCTTCCTTAGTAGGTCAGTCAATACCCTATCTTAGCTTCATACTGGCATATAAAAGGATGCTTACTCTAGGTTTGTTTTTATTTATCCTCACTCTCTTCTTAGTTGTGCAGACAAAAACATTTTGCACTGCTGAAGAGGATTCCTGCAGACTAGACTTTTTTTACTGCCTCAACCAAAATGTTTCACAGACCCTCTTTCAGGATTACTGAATCAGAGGCTGCTAGAAGAGGAAAATCCATTTGGTTCTCTGAGTACAGCTTCTTTCTGGGGATATTTAGGAAACCAGCCAGGATAATAGATTGTGTTATAAATAATTGTGTTCACACCAAGCAGGTGAAAGGCTGCATGAACTAACTATGCTTATCACTGAGAAGAGAATATAGGGATATTTCAAGCCATACTTTGATTGCCAGGACCTAATGCAGGAAAAGAGCAGCATCACTAACCCATACTCTTTAATGCCCATATGGTAGCCACCGTCATGAGTGGCTGTAAGGATTACAGTGAGGTTCTGTAGAAGTGAAAGTGTGACTGTCTCCAGCTTGAGCTAGCCTCCAGGGCTGAAGGCTGTAACAGGCTGTGCCTCTTTAACCTGAATGTATCAGGAAATGCATGACAGACCTTGCCCAGAGGTATTCATCTGTAACTTCTACCTGCACTGGTTCACTCTGAAAGGAGAATAAGGCCATGCTTTGGCCTCTGCTGTTGGATTGAAAGCTTTGAATATGATAATTATCAAATGGTATAGGGAGAAGGAAGGTCGTCTTTCCTGGACAGAGATGTGATAGAGAAGGCAGCTTATGCCCTGCTGTTTTCTCTGCCCCTTTACATACCTATGTTAGAGCTAACAGTGACCAAATACTAGGTGTTTCTTTTCTCAGAAAACAAAGTCAATCCTAGTGACCCTGTGCCGTAGCTTAATTGAGGCTTAATTCTTATCACATGATATTAGTTAATAGATTCCTGGTAATTAATGAAACTATTTCTGTGTTGCTGTATCCTGCAGTGCGCTGCTCTGGTTGGTGAAGACCAGCCTCTTTGCCCAGATCTCCCAGAACTTGACCTCTCTGAACTAGATGTGAACGACCTGGATGCAGACAGCTTTCTGGGGGGACTCAAGTGGTACAGCGACCAGTCAGAGATCATCTCCAATCAGTACAGCAATGAACCCGCCAATATATTCGAGGTAAGGCAAGGTGATGCAAGGCATGTTGCAAAGTCCTTGCTTGCTTTTTTTTTTCTGGGTTCGTTTTTTTTTTTTTATTAGCCTGGTGGACAACAGTTTACTATTTTTCCACCATTAAGAGACAAGAAAACTGCTGGTGTATTATGGGTTCTGACTGGTTCTGTTAATCATCACGATCGAAACCAGACCTGCGATCTGAAGGGGGGGAAAGCCTTAAAAAGATTTAAATGAAACTTGTGGTCTTTGAGAGGAAACAGCTAAAGAGTACCTAGAGCATACTGCCCTGTGGTGTCATGATGAGGAGTTGCACTGTTGTCAGCTACAGAGCAAAACAGGAGTTGAAGCTTGTTTGTTGTCTTCCACTTGAATTCCTCGGCAAGAAGCAGAGTGCTGCACAACAGCTAGCTGATGAGTAGCTGGAACATTTCTAGTAAAGATTTTTACCACTCAGAGCCTTACTGTGCAAGTTACTTGCACACAAATTGAGAGGTCTGTGATTTGTTTATGTTCAGGGGGAGAGGAAGGGTGAGTGTGGTGGAGAAGGCAGTGAGGGCTGTCAGTAACTCAGGGACCAGCTCTGCGTTCTGATATTTCATAGATCTCCTGGTGGAGAGCAATCTAAAAGTAAAAGTCAGAGGTTGATAGGAGAGATTTAATTGTTTTCTTTCCAATTGTGCATTGGGGGTTTGGTTGTCCAAGAGGAGGGTTGCTGTCTCTTTATCTCTGTCTCGAGTCTTCTTTCTTTTGTTGTGTAAAGCTTTCATAATTCTCCACCTTGTGGTTTCGGGCAGCCGTGCCCCTCCTAAACTCTAACCTCCTTCCCTTCTTGTTGATAGGAGAGGCCATAGATCGTTCACTGACTGGGAAATTGAACAATAAATTGATTAGCTGGCAGGAAGACCTTGTACAAAAGCAAGCTATGGGTGCTGTTTCTCACACACCAAGTAGCACAGCTCCAGGAAGTACAGCTAGCCCGCTGGTTCCGGAAAGCCCTGGATTATCATGGTAGAATTTTAAAAGCTGGGAAAAATTAACTGAAATGGTATAGTAAAATGCTTACCTAGGGTGTGATGTCCTGAATAAAATTCTCCTTTCTTTATATACAGCTCTAAACTAACAGTGATCTCCCTGATGCAGATGAATTGCTCTGGATTTAAACTAGTGTAACTGATAGCAGAAACTGGTCTTCTCTGTTTAGTTTCTGTAATTTAAATCCAAGTAACTTGGAATTAATTTTATTTTAATCAAATCAGCTCTGCAAAGCCTTGTGCTCAGGCCCTCTTTTTTTCTTTAGTTGTATAATGTTCCACACTTTGTTTTACAAAGTTTCCAAATCCTGTCTGGTTCTTGAATTGCAGTTGTACTGCCTCAGGCAGGGTAGGGCATGTTGGTGGCAGCAGGGGGGCAGGGTCCATGTTTGCAGCAACTGTGATGGAGACTTGTTTTGCTTTTTTCATCACTGAGGACACATATTTTTTCCACATTCATCAAAAACCAAATGCAGAAGCATTTTCCTTTAGGAAAAGTCGGTTGAAGATGCAGACTTTCAAAGTGTAAGTTCCACATAAGTAATGCGATTACGTATTTACCAAATGTAAGCATACAAATTATTCCAGTAAAACCAGTGGAACTTGGCTTCGTTTCTTGTCCCGTGTGTTACTGCCTGTCTGCTCTGATGGCCACAGCTGCTGAGTATAAAGCTGTCTCAGATAGGTAGTGACTGTTCCCCTGCAGACCTTGTGTAGGAAACAATTCCTGTGCTGGAAATCGAAGTGTGTTGCAAGCTGCAGGATGACCAGATAGGCTGGTAGTTAACCTCACTGGGAGATGGTGACAGGAGCAACATCTCATGGGCAAGTTTGGGTCTGTCTGAGGATGAGCCACCCCAGTGTGAAGAAACAGGGGAATATGTGTGGAGAGACAGGGGCAGTGTAGCTGGGGGGAATTAATCTACACAGCAAGTAATAGGTCAGAAATAATAGTTTGGAAATGAAATATGCTGCTTCTTTCCTGACACACAAATTCTGTTGTTTTCTCTCCTCACACTCATTGACTTCAGCTGCAGGCTGCATTGCTGTCTCATCACAGCTTGGCCCATACTTACCTGTAGGGACAAATTGTGCCCTAATGGTATTTTACAATACTGCAGTGCAAAATTAGACTATTTTCAGCTTCTCAGAGTGTTGTATTTACATTTCTTGGTTGCTTGGCCTAGGAAGATGGGAGTGAAACAGTTATTTTCTCCTGCTGTGCATTAACCCTGTCCCCATTCTCCACTGTGCAGCTGGATACTTTGCACTATTTCTTGCCTCTGCCGCTCAGTAATGTGACGACTGGGGGTGCTCAAGATCAGAAGAAGATGTCTTCTTCCTCCAGAGACTATCTCACATACTCTGTGAGGAACTATTTGTTTTAGCTGAGAGAATGGAAGTTTTTTGCAGTTTCTCATTTGGTGATCACTAGATTTTTTCCATATTGATCCTCAATAGCTTTATAAAAAAGAAAATAATATCTTTTTTTGCCTTTTTAAATTTTTATTTCTCTCTTGTCATTGTGAGAGTAGTATGTTTCATCTGACTTAAGCTTCCAGATGAGGCATTGTCATACAAAAATAGAAATACAGCCTATTTGGGGTGGAAAGGAAGGAATCAGAATGACAAGCAAATGATGGGAAGTACACGAGCAGCATTACCTGCACAAGCTGTACAGTACATTGCCAAATCTAGCCTTGAATGAAACACACTCTCCTTTGAAGTATTAATGCAGTACATGTGGCGTTGTCTATGTGAGGAACAGTGTCCAAAAGCCCTTTAAAAAGTTCCTGAGTATCTCTGATGCACTTTTTTTTAAAGAAAGGTTTGTTTTTCATAAAGTGAATTTTCAATCTTTCTGCAAATCATGTTCCTGAAAGCTCACTTGGGCTGAGCACCCACAAGCTTAGTGGCACTGGGAGTCTCACAGACTAGAAATTATTAATAGTCATGGTGGCAACCGGGAGCCAAGTGAGATAAAGGTCCAATTAGTCCAGATAGTATGTAAGTGTTAAGTATAAATCCCTGCTCTCATCCGCTTAGGTGTGATGCGATCCTGGCCTTCACTGGAGGATTGGAGCACACCAATATTTTGCAGACACACCTAATTCATCACTGCATCTTCCTGCTCACATGCCAGTGTCACCGATATGAGTCCCCAATCAAGCCTGCACTGCCCCAGCACAGAGGCTCTTCTTACCAGTGTTTGTACTTATGTACATTATGAATTAGGTGATTTTTTTTCTATTCACAGCTCAATCCCTTCTGTTTTTCACCTAATTTTGTTTGCATCTTGCTTGAAATGATGAAATGAAGGAGTTTTTGCCCCTCAGGCTGCTGTCTATTGACACAAGTTCGTGTAAATAAATAGTTAACAAGTCACCCAAGACCAGTTGTTTAGATGGCTTGCTGGGCCATTCACTTTTATGATTTGTTTTTGTGAAGAACTAGTCTTTAAAATTTGTGTTTGTAATTTGGCTACTTTCAGAAAATCAAAATGGTTAAATTTTCATTCTCAAAGCCAATGCTATGTGAAATTGTGAACAAACATACAACTTGGTGTGTCATGAGTGAGAAGGCTTTTTGTTCATGAAAACTGTTGTCCCTTGAGGCTTCTTGAAATATACTGTACCGTATCATGTAAGATTAGTCATATTTAAAATTATTTATGATCCATGCCTAGCATTATGGAGAGGGAAGATAGCTACAGTGGGCGTTTCTCTTTGTTGGTATTTTTTACAAATAACTCAGCTGATGGTAAGAGAAAATTCAGCCTGTAGATAGGCAATAACCTGTTAAACTACACTGAACCTGTGTAAAAACATAAATCTTGTCTTGGGCAAAACACTTTTTTTAGCTTTCAAAAAGACTTCAGAAAACCCACATTGCTTTCCCTAATGCAGGTTTAATTTATTTACATAAATCTATGTTCCAAAGCAATGCTTGCAGTGTTTGATGACTTTGTTTTTAATTGTTTTATATAGGTGTATCCCACATTACTTCTCAAGGCCATTCTATGTGCCACAAATTTGGAAAGCCTATAGAGATAACTACATTTCATTGTAGACTGCCAAAGAGGGCTGTATTACAAGCAATGAGAATGTGAGGAGAGAAAGAAATACACAATGCAATGCAGACTGTCTTTCCCCTGGCAGCAGGGGAATGCATGGAGATAAATGATTTCTTATTTATTTGGAAGGGGTTGTATCAGGGAGATGATGAGTGTTGAGGGAAGCCTTAAACATCACCAGGGTAATTTGCATTGGTTCAGATTATAAAATCGCTCATGTTCTGTGGTGCTGCCAGTCTCTTTCACCATTGCAGGTTATTCATTCAAGGTTTGCAGCCAGATTGATTAATGAATTACCAGATCTTGCGTAAAATGACTTGGCCTGACTTTTAAACAACCACCAATGTTTTCTTTGCCAGTCTTGTGACTGGTGTTAATGGGTTCCAGAGAACTGAGCCTATATAGACTTTCTGTAGTAGCCTTCCCTAGCATTTTTTCCACTTTTTAATTTTCTCCAAAACTAGTAGCCCAGGGCAGGCAGTTCAAGGAGATACAATCTCAGGGAAAAAAAAAGACATAGTAGTCAAATCCTTGATGGCTGATGCCCTTCAGTGCCAAATCAGCATGATTTATCATAGCCATCTATTCAGCACAACAGAGGCTGGAGGTGAGCTGCATGGTGTACCTCACACAATATGTATAACTAGAGCTCTGAACTTTGAAGGAAAGCCTCAGAGCTATTTGCAAAGTGCTGGTGCTTAGTGAATACTAAATTACATTTAGGAAATAGTCTACTGCTACCAGTTATACTTCATTTTTATTCTTGACACAGACACCTAAATCAGAGAACAGTAACATTTCAGAGATTATGGTAGCAGTTTGGGTATGTTCCAACACTATAATAGGATCAGAATTTTAAGGCCTTTTTTATTATTACCAATAGTCACTTAGTTTCTACT